GCCCCGCCGGTGAAGCCGGAGCGCTGCCGCGAGGGCGAGGCCTGCGGCGGCCTGGCGGAGGAGCGGCCGGGGCTGGGCGGCGCGGTGCGGCCGCTGCGCCGGTCCGCCGCCACTTCGGCCCGCAGACAGCCCAGCTTCTTGATGTAGACCTTGCGGGTGGTGGCGGTGATAGGCCCCGGGCGGTAGCCGAGCGCCAGCAGCTCCTTGCGGAGCTCCGCGTCCGTCAGCTCCGCCATGGCCGCGCCAGGCCCCGCCGGAAGCGCCCCGCGGGCGGGAAGCGCCGCCGCCATCTTGGGAGGAGCCGGCGGCGCCGCCATGTTGGGGAGGGCGTGTGGCAACGGCGCGGGGCGGGCGCCATGTTGGGAAGGGCGAGCGGGGCGCGGGCTCCGTGTGCTGGGGGAGCCGCTCCCGCTCCGCGCTGCTCCCTCAGGAAAAAACGGAAAAAACGGGGAAAGCAAAAGGCGAAAGCTGCTTCATCTGCGGGACGAGCCGGTGTCGATGAGGGGTTGTCCCCCATCGCTGTGTGCGGCTGCTCCCGTGTGGGAGTGAGTCCCGCCTCGCTCACCCCCATGTTCTGACACTTTTAGGGCCATTCTCCTACAAAACGTCCCTTTCCCAGCCACTGCCACCCCCACACGCGTTTCCATCATCGCTGCCCAGTTGCTGAGCTCTGCCAGAACCTCAGGCAGGACCAGGATCCAGATCCATGAAATATTTCCCGGGAAAGGGGGGGATCTCTCCACACCCCACACCTAAAACAGCAAACCCAAGCGTTGACTTGCAAATTTATTTTGGCACAGCTGTGATGAACAGTAATTGCTTTTTCCTGCTGCCGCCGCTAAAGAAAGCGATGAAAGCGGCTGAAATACGGTGGCGTCATGTCGGAATTTAATGAAAGGTAGTGGAGCAGCGGTGCTGGAGGTGCTGAGGGCTGGCTGTGTGCCACGGGTTTGGTGATGGATGTGTGACACTGGTGTGGGGGACACGCCGTGGTCCCTTGGGAATGGCACCTGTGGGGAGAAGGAGGCTCCAGAGGAGCACGAAGCTGAAGGAGCTAAGCTCTTCCCGACATAAATCACAGAATCCCAGTCAGTGAGGCTGAGAAATCCGTCCAACACCATCGAGTCGAAGCTGTGACCAATCCCCACCTGAGTGCCGTGTCCAAACTTCCTCGGACACCCCAGGGATGGGGACTCCAAACCTCCCTGAGCAATGCTAACAGCCCTTTCCACAGAGAAATTCCTCCTGATGTCCAACCTGACCTTCCCCTGGCACAGCAGGAGCATCCTGTCCTGTCCCTATTCCTTCTTTCAGGAACTCTCCTCCTTAGCAGGTCCCCAAAGCTCACATCACTCTTCCCAATTTATCCAAGAAAGCAGCAACGAGATGCTGAGATTTGTTCATCAGGTTGGCAACAGCAAATACATCCTCAGCAGAGGCCAGGGAGCCCATTAAAAGAGCAAACTCAGCTGTGCTGGGAAGTGTGAACACGCTAAGCTGAGCTTCCTCTGTGCTCCTCTGCCAGCTCATGATGTGGAGAGGGGTCTAAAGTAAATAAAAAATTCCAATTTGCTCCTATCACACAGATCCTGTCAGCTCACAGCACTCACTTTGCAGAAGCTCTGCCTGGGCATGCAGCTGCGCGCTGGCTGAGCTGGTGCAAACCTGGAATTACATGAACTCACCTTTTTCTGGAGAAAACAGCAACAAAAGCCCAAACCTATCCTTTCAACTTGTGGCTCTGCCCATCGTGGGAATTACCCCAGGCCCAGCAGCCCCATTGCACAATCTTTGGAGGGGAGGAAATGGGATTGGTGTTGGACAACTGGAGGATGGGGGAAAAGCTGTGATTCCTCCTCAGAAGGAGGTTGGCAGCAGCAAAGCTCAGCAGGATCAGGTGCCTATTTTTTGTGGAGAGAAATCCACCACCCCTTGCCTTCCTCCCCATGGGAGAATCTCTGCCTTCCCTGGAAGGCATTTGGCCCCCACAGGGAAGGCAGCAGGAACAGACGTGTCAGACCCTATATCCCCTACGGGCAATCTTTGTTCCCATCCCCTGCCCACAGTGCCAATGCTGAATTTGACAGTGGATTTTCTATTTTTGCAGCCCCTTCATCATCCTCATGGCTCTGGGAGCACCAAGCGGTGCCGAGGCTGCAGATGGGCTCGGCAAAAAGCGTTTCTTGGCTGGAAACAGCCGGAGCTGGCTGTGGGAAGCTGGGACAGCACGGGGGGACAGCCTCCACCTTCCCTGCGCGCCCAGAAGCTGCCTCAGAGCTGCTGGCAGCGGCTCCTGTGCCAGAGGAGCAGACGCCCGCTCCGGTTCTGGCAGCCTGGGGACAGGGCTGGCATGAGCAGAGCCCTGGGAAGGGATCCGTGCCGGAGCAGGGAACGGCTGCACCCCAAACCCCGCAGCTGAACCCTTCCACCGCTGACTGATGGGCTGCTGAAACCCCGCGTCCCCAGCCACCTCCTTAGCCGTGGCTTTTGGGTGACAGCCCTGCGCATGGCACCCAGGGAAGTGTCAGGGCTTTCTTGGGAGCCCGCTGTGCCTGTTTGTCACCCTGTCACTGACAGCCACAGCACAGGTGTGACCCAAGAGCCCTCAGCCGCCTGCCCGGTTCCTTAGGAAGTCAGAGGTGACTCCATTCCCTTCCCTCCTCTTCTCCCCAGCTATTGGGCTGCTCATCCCACCATGAAATTCTTGTTTGGTTTCTGGAGCAGCAGATTTCTCCTGCCTGCCAGCAGGTGTGACCTGGGTGCTGTTGGCTGCCAAAGCACCTTCCAGGGCAGGGGAAAATGGAGATCTGCCCTGAAACCTGGAGACCACTTCCTTCTTACCCAAAGCCAGAGCTTGGGCAGCCTGGAGGGGCCTGGTTGGGGTCCCTCCATCTCTTTCCAGTGGAAACGTTTCTGCTTCTCCTGCTCAGGTCCCTGATGGTGGAAGGAATTTACTCCCAAAAGTTGAAGGTGTACTTTGGTGCCTGTTTGGACACCACAGTTGGTGCTGCAGGAGAGGACAGGAATTATTCCTGTGGTCTCTGTCACAACCAGCCATTACATCCCAAGCTCATTTATAACTGGGACAACTGGGACAAGCCACTGGTAGAATCCATGGCTGGGTTCAAGACTGGCCCTTGCTGATGCAGCTTGTCTGGGTCCAAGGGTAGTTGCAGAGTCCTGCTGGTGGATCTCCCTCTGGAATTTTCCACAGCGTCAGCCCCACCATCACCCCAGTGGGAAATGGTCCAGGGAGCAAATCCAAGAGGCTCATGTTCACTTTCTTTCTTTCCATCATTGGAAAACCTTCCTTCCTAGGTGGCACAGGGGAGGTGATCTCCTGGGAGAGAAGGAGCTGGGGAAAGGGCACACTGGGGGGACAGCTCTGACCTGCACTGGAGCTTATGGAGGGGGTTTGGGGGTAGTTTACCCCTCGAGGGGGAATTCTCTTTTGTTTCCATGTGGCAAAATCAAACCTGGAGTAAAGGTTTGGGTGTCTGTGAAGTAACAAGGCAAGAGGTGCCCTCTGAAGCCAGCAAGCCTCTGACCTTGCTGCACACTGGTGTAAATGTCCCAAATGTGGCACAGCTCCTCCTGCGAGTCCCATGCCAGCTCTTCCATGGATATCGCCCCTGTGCAGATGGAGCTCCTGCAGCCCAGACTGCTCTCACTCCCAGCCTAATGGAATGTGTTATTTCCCATCTCCCTCCCACTCAGAGTCATTACAGAGCTTCCAGAGCTCACACTGCCTCAGCAATACTGGGAGCTTCCCGGAGCTGATCAGTCCCTGGACAAGGAGTGTGCCTTTGGATCAAACATTAGAGCTGTAATCCACTGCACGCTGCCTGTTCCATTACCCATTGGGAGCTTTCTCCTCTCCCCAGGGCTGCTTATGGCAGAGTGCTCCAAGGGGTGTTGTTCCAGCACAAACAGAGCTCTTGGAATGAGCTCAGTGAGAACAGAAGTCCTGTTAGGTTGAGAGGATAAAATTGGATTGGAATTGGATATATTCACGTACATACCATTGATCTCATCCATCCCTACTTTACATATGTTGGATTTCCTGCTGCCAGCAGAGAGGAGTAGCTCTCAGACAAGCCAAAGGTATGGAAATGGAGAGCAGGATGTTCAAGTGGAATTAGGATTTCACCTCGGGGTGTGTTTGAAAGGCAGGAGAAAGGGCAGAGTGAGTTCCCTCACACTGTGCCTGGCACAGCTGCTCCTCACTGTGCTGGTGGATTTATAGCTCCAGGCTGACAGGAGGGGTTGGGTACAGAGAGGGGCTGCCCATCAGGGCTCCTGCATTCTCCAGCAGTGTGGGAGTGTGCCAGAGCACCCTCCTGGAGCAGGGAACTGCGTTAGGGACACCCAGGTCCCCCCACTTGTCTCACCAGTTCTGCCAGGAGATCTGGTAAAGGTTTGCCTCAGTTTCCCTCATTGCTAAAATGGAGGGATAAGACTTAATCCTCCTCAAAGATTGATTTCCTGGGCTTTTCCACGTACTTTCATAGAATCGCAGAATACCTGAGGTTGGAAAATCCCTGTGGGATCATTGAGTCCAGGCTGTGCCCAATCCCCACCCTGAACACTCAGTGCCACCTCCAGGTGCCACCTCCAGGGATGGGCACTCCAAACCCCCCTGGGCAGCCCCTTCCAACCCTTCCCATGAGGAAATTCCTGCTGGTGTCCAACCCGAGCCTCCCCAGCACAGCCTGAGGCCGTTCCCTCTCCTCCTGTCCCTGTTCCCTGGGATGAGATCCCAAATCCCCCTGGCTGTCCCCTCCTGTCAGGAGTTGTGCAGAGCCAGAAATTCCCCCTGAGCCTCCTTTGCTCCAGGCTGAGCCCCTTCCCAGCTCCTTCAGCTCCTCACAGGACTCTCAGAGCAGTGCTCAGGAAAACAGGGATGTTCACCAAAACCTGGAGCCTTTCCTGTCTCTTCTTTCCCACACTGGGCACTCCCCATCTGTTTGAGAAGCTTGCAGGACAGAAGACACAAATCCTACTTTTTAATTACGCTGCATATTTATTATCTCACCTCAGATTTCGTTAATCTCTCTGACAAATTTCATTTACATAAGTGGAGTCTTTCAGCTTGAGCAGCTCCAGCGCTTTCTCTTCTGATCCTGCAGATATCAGTCAGCTAAATAGAAAAGAGAGAAAAGCACAAGTGTCCTTAAATCTGGCATTCAGTCTTTCCAGAGCTTTATGTGTTGTTTCCTCCTCCTCAGCTCCCCGGCTGAAAGCTCAGAGGCAAACTGGGATGAGCACAGGCAGAGCAGAGCAATCCCACAGGGAGAGTGGGACCCCCTTTCCTGGGCTTAAACATCCCAGAAAAGGCAAAGGCACGGGGACAGCCCCATCCCACCATCCCTCATCCTGCAGGCAGGAAGAGCTGCACAACAGCCTGCCCCTGGATATTTGCTGCTGCAATTCCCACACACGATCTCCCAAAGGAAAAGGAGGATTTGCAGCAAATTGCAGTGTAATTAAGTGTCAGTGTTAAGCCCCCGTGCAGGCAGCGAGGTGTTCCAAGCTGGCTGCACATGCTGAGCTGCCTCGCAGGTACAGTTGCTGTTATAAACTCTGCTGGAAATTGTTCCCTGGAGACTGAGGACTTTTTGGGGAGGAGGAGGAGCAGGGAAGTGGCAAACAGAGCTGTTGGGAAGGGTTGTGGTGCTGCTTCCAGTCAATACCAGCTCTGGGGCACAGGCAGCACCTGACAAGGGAATAACCTTCCCAGAAGGGTGCACACGGGAGTGGTTGGGATCTGAGGGCTCCACAAGTGAGCAAACATGACACAAAAACCCTTCTGGGGAATATAAATATCTCTGTGATGATGAGCTGGTGAGAAGAAGGAAAGGCAGAATTCCCAAGGCAGAAATCAACCCTCTGACAGTACCATCTGGGGTGTCCTGTAACAGCTCTGCCAGCAGTTTCTCCAGGACATCTTGGTATTTTTCCAGCTGCCTTGGGGTAAGCCAAGCTCTGACAGGAAGGGCCTGCTGTGGAGGAAACCAGAGAAGTCAAAACAAAAAAGGTGAGGGAGCAGAGGGGGGGAGGTTGGGGTGCTTTGACCCCACTTGGATCGAATTAGTGGAAGGTTTAGGGTTTGGAGGGAAGAAGATGAGCCTCATATGGGGAAAAGCAACATTTTGAAGGCGGCACACTCTTGAGTCGTTCACAGTGCTGTTGCATAACCCGTGGGCTGGCTCAGAAATCCAGATAAAGGCACCTCCTGGCAGCAGGGACTGCAAAGAAAATAATTTCTGAACCTTCTAATCCTCCACTGTGTGGCACATGGACCCTTCCAGCCTGAGCCTGCAGAGCTCCTGCCCTAGCAACAGCTGAGGACGAGCTGTGGTCCTGCTCCAGCCTGCTGCACTCGGAGCCAGCTGTGCCTGAAGCAAAGAGCTCTGTTCTGGTGCTCGCCAGCCGTGGGGATGTGCTGGGTATTTCACACTTTGAACTGGGCATTTTGCTGTTTAAATCCTGTTACCGAATGCTGGAGCATCACGAGTGCAGGAGGAGCTGCACATGAAGCTGTGCCTTAGACAAATTCCAGCCTGGCTGATCCTGCTGCCTGTCCCACGGGATCTGTCCCTGTTTTGGGGGATCTGCACCCTCCTTTTGCTGGCAGAGAACAGCCAAGCTCCCTGCAGGAGTGGCTGCCCACACTGGAAAAAGTTGCCTGTGCTCAAGTGGCAAAGCACAATTTTCAGACTTGGCTCACCAGTTAAGTCTGCCTTTGAGGGCTTAGCCTGGCACTTCAATCCCTCAAATTGCCCATTTTCTGCTCTGTGTACAGACTTCGAGGCCAAGATTTTAAATAAGGCTTTGCCAGTGCAGAGAACTGTGGGGTCAGAGGTGCCACCAAGCAGGAGCTGAAGCAGAACTGGGAGTTCCTGCCTTGCACCTGGCTGGGCTTCACTGCCTGCCAAAGAGACCTCAAGCTGTTCCCACCTTCCTCAGGGAGAAGCTGTTGGGCCTCAGGGGTGACCTGGCTGCTGAACGACCAAGATAATTTGGGATGGAGCTAAAACTTCTCTCTGATGTAAGCAGGCAGGCTGGCAGAGGACGCCTCTTGGACTCCTCGTCCCCTGCACGTCCTCGTGGGCTTCTCAGAGTCAAATGGCTCCACATACCTGGAGGGTCTTGGCTGCATTGACATCCACACCAGATTGCTCAGAGAAATCTTCCTCCTCCAGCTGCTGCAGCGAGCTCAGGGATTTCTTCTGCCCTGCCTTGTTCCTCTCCTTTTCCTGCAGCTTCGGGGCAGAGAGCAGAGGGGGCAGTTGGTGATGCTGGGACTGCAGCAAACCCAAACCCAAACTCTGTGCTGTCCCAACAGCCAGGAACCCACGGTGCTGGGCACAGAACCAGCAGGATGCTGAATCCTGCTGGGAAGGGCCCATCAGCTGTGACCCGAGTGGCCTTTGGGGACTGAAATTCAGCAGTGCTGCGGGCGAGGTCAGGTCAGGTTATGGGGCAGGGTGTGAAGGTCTGCAGTGAACAGGAGCCACGTGTGGTGGGGGAACTCTGTCAGCAGAACGTGGGAGCTGACAGCACCGGGACCTGCCCACGGGACTGACAACACCGGGACCGGACCACGGGACTGACAACACCGGGACCTGACCACGGGAGCTGACAACACCGGGACCTGCCCACAGGACTGACAACACCGGGACCTGTCCACGGGACTGACAGCACCGGGACCTGTCCAGGGGACTGACAACACCGGGACCGCACCACGGGACTGACAGCACCGGGACCTGTCCATGGGAGCTGACAACACCCGGACCTGCCCACGGGACTGACAGCACCGGGACCTGTCCACGGGACTGACAGCACCGGCACCTGTCCATGGGACTGACAGCACCGGGACCTGCCCATGGGAGCTGACAACACCGGGACCTGCCCACAGGACTGACAGCACCGGGACCTGTCCACGGGACTGACAGCACCGGGACCTGCCCATGGGACTGACAGCACCGGGACCTGCCCACGGGACTGACAGCACCGGGACCTGTCCATGGGACTGACAACACCGGGACCTGCCCACAGGACTGACAGCACCGGGACCTGTCCACGGGACTGACAGCACCGGGACCTGCCCACGGAACTGACAACACCGGGACCTGTCCACAGGACTGACAACACTGGGACCTGTCCATGGGACTGACAGCACCGGGACCTGTCCACGGGACTGACAACACCGGGACCTGTCCAGGGGACTGACAACACCAGGACCTGCCCACGGGACTGACAACACCGGGACCTGCCCATGGGACTGACAACACCGGGACCTGCCCATGGGACTGACAACACCAGGACCTGTCCATGGGACTGACAGCACCGGGACCTGCCCATGGGACTGACAACACCGGGACCTGCCCATGGGACTGACAGCACCGGGACCTGCCCCAGCTGTCCCACAGAACTTGGCCTGGCTCTGTGCTGGAGCACTGTGAGGAAATTGAACCCTGCATGTGCAGAGCGGTCACGTTTTCCCAGCCGTTCTGCAGGTCTGTAATGTCAGCCCATCTCCATTTATTCAGTTGCCTTCAGAACCCTCTGGAAAAGCCAAAGGTGCTTTGGAATAGGACAGACACAGCAGGACGTGTCAAACGTGGCACAGGCCGTGCTCAGTGCCCAGCGTGTGAGCACAGGAGGGGCAGGGACAGCCTTTGGGGACAGATTTCCCCTTTGCTCGTCCCAAAACCCCAGTCCCTGGCAGACACGGAGCTACAAGGGCTGTGGAGTACAAACACAGCCCACGTGGGTCCCCATCCTCCTCAAGGACATTGAGGAATGCCTGTGCTGCCCACAAAAAGCAATTGTTATCCAGGGGTGGGTGTTGGAAATGGGATTTCTCCCGGTATCCAGGGGCTCGGCAGTGCGGGGGAAGCTCACCGGGCTGTGTTTCAGAAGCTGCCGGCTCTGAGCCTGCCTGACACCTTTCAACGGTATTTGTTTCACTTCAAAAGGAAAAAACGTTCTCTCGGCACGTCCCAGAGGTGACAACCAGCCGGGGGATGGTTAATTATTTGTTACAACAAAAGAGCCATCACTGAACTGATGGGAGGCTGCAGCTGCTCTGGAAGAATTCCAGCACCGAGGAAAGGGAAAGGACCCGCAGGGGCTGCAGGTGACGCCCCCACAGGAGTGGCAGACCTTTGGCAGGGGCGTCCAGGCTCTTCCTTTCTACCTCACACCTTAAAAATTCCCTCTGCCTCCTCCCAAAGGCGTGGATTTTGGGAGAAGGATGTCAGAGTGTCACTGCAGTTTGGGGGATGAGAGCAGGAGAAACCTTTCCTGATTTATTCATTCCGGAGGGGTTACCTGCATTTTCTGGAAGTCGCTCTGGGTGAAAAAGGGCATGAAGCCTTGGGTCTGCTCAGCCAGCACGGACAGCAGGGACACCAGCAGCAAACTGGCCACCACCTTCCTCGAAACCATCCCGAGAGCCTGGACAACACGGGAAAGGAGACACCAGGGCAAGATGGAGATGGAGCTTTGACATGAAACGCCTTTGGCTCCACACCAGCTGCAACCCAGCTCAGCCCCAGCCCACCTCAGGGATATTTACTCTTGCAGTTGCTCCTGAGCTGAGAATAGAAGTGCCTTGACTGGCAATTCCCTTCTCAAAGCTGTTTGTGTAAACAGATTTGTTCTCGAGCAACATCTCCAGGGACTTCAAGCCCAGCCCTGCTCCACCTCCCCGAGTTCTCGAGCCTCAGCCCTGCAGCTGTGTTGGTTTAAGACCTGAACACATCCAGAACAAACCCATCAATCCCAGCGCCAGCACGGCAGACAGAGATGCTGCAAAGAGAAAAACCTTCACACAGACGGTTCTTTAATTTTTGGGTTGAATTTCCTCACCATTGGAAACCTTCCTGGGTGGACTGGATCTTTTAAGAAGCCTCATTGAGTCCAAGGGAAATGGGAAAGGCGTTTTCCAGCCCGGCTCTGAGCCTGGAATAAAAGGCTTTAAAAACCACCTCTGAAGTGATCTAACTATGGCTTCACATCAGGAAAGGACTTATGTAAACATTGAATGTTCTCTTTAAATATTAAAATAGTCTCTCTGGACAGACTTAATGAAGTCTGGTCCTACAGCTTAACTTCTTCACCTGATTGGAGCTGGATCCTTAATTAGTTTCAGCAACCTCTTGGTTTGGACATTCTTGAGAAGACATTGTTAAGTTAGATTTGACTCCTGAATTAGATTTCCCATAAATATCAGCTGGGATTGAACCAAGGGCCAGTGGAAGTTAATAAATATTCCCTTTCCATAGCCCCTGTCAGTCACATCCTCTCCTCTCCCTTCCCTGGGCACTGCACTGGTGCCACCTCCCCCTGCCCACCCAGACTGGACCAGCAGAGCCACCTCCTGCCCTGGGATGTCCCAGGGTGTCCCAGCCCTGTTTCCTGCAGGGCTCCAAGCAGGAATTCTCAGGCTCTGCCCTTGCAATGCAACCTCAGCAGCATCAATCTTTGGCGCTTTTTCATTTATTCTATCCCTGCAGTAAATATATAAATAAATAAAATACTGCTGAATACAAAGAAAATACACCCAGTCACTTCCTTCATCTCCTCTTGGCTAATCCCACTGGGAATTGATTGTCTCCCTCTTCTCCCAGAAAAACACCCACACAGACCTCTCCACTCAGAAACGTCCCTGCTGAAAGCCCTCCCTTGCTTGGCAAGCAGGACCTGCATTCCAGCCCCGAGAGCTCCAGCTCAGCACCTCTCCAGGCAGGAAGCACTCGGTGGATTTGCTTCCCAGCTCCAAAGGGAAAAGAAAAAAGCAGGAGGATCCCAAGTTCAGCATCAGCACTGCGGGCACACAGCTCTGCTCACCCCCCAAAACCCAGCCAAGTGCCAGTGTGGGGGCAGAAGGGGTGGGCAGCTGGCACAGCAACAGGACAGGACACTCACCTACTGAGCTGTTCCCAAAAAATCCAACCATTCCTGGCTCTAGGACTTGTCTGAGAGTCATTTTCTGCCTGCTCAGAGCAGCTCCCCATGCTCAGAGGGCACAGCTCTGTGGCAGTGCCAGATGCCCACAGGAGGTAGGAGCTGCTGGAATTGGTGCTCCTGAGATGGGGATGAGGGAAAAGCAACTTCCCCCTTGTTTCAGCATCGATTTTGTTCCTTCCTCCTCCTCTGAGCTGGTTCTTCTGTGGCCAAGAGGTGCCAAGACCTACCTGGGAGTGCAGCCACGGGACACTGGCGGTCGGAGCTCTTCTCCCTCCTGACACACCTGGGTGCTCCTGCTGCTTCTCCTCCCTTTATAAACCCACCCAGGCACTGCAGGCACTCACCTGTGACCCTGCCCGGCTGCCTGGCCTGCATGGAAACAGCTTTCCCAGGCAGGGAATGTTGTTATCTGCACTGGAGTTTTCTGAGTTTCTCGTTTCCAGGCAGATCCCCTCTTCTCCCTCCCCAGGTTCTTCAGCTGTTCCTGGTGGCCCCACAGCTGAGGCTGCCTCAGTTTCTCCATCTCTAATTTGGAGAAATTCCTCTCTCCTGGCTTGTGTTTCTAGGCACCGAGACAAGGATTTTAGGATGTGAATGTCCCAGCACTACAATGACACCTGTGTCAATTATCTTTCTACTGTAATTGCAAATCACAATAATATCAAAATTGCCACTTTGAGTGTTCAAGTGGCTCCTTCTCCCATCCTCACTGAGCCTGGCACACTGATCCCCCTCGGGAACACAAATCCTGCACTGTCATCCCTCTCCAGACAAACGAGGTGCTGAGAGAGGGAGGGAATTGTGCAAGAACTCATCCGAGCTCTCCCGGGACCATCAGCCAGGAGCTGATGCCAGAGGGTTTGGGATCAGGCCAGGCACCTCCTGGTGCTGCTCCTGAGGGAGTCTGGGAGCAGCCAGGAGAGGAGCAGGAGGGAAAAACGAGCTGGGAAATCCTCCTGCATCCACGGGCTCCGTGGGCTGGCAGAGCGGGGAGCAGCAGCATTGCCTGCCTGGGGAGGGAGATGGGGAATGGCGATTGCCCACCCGGGAATGGCGATTGCCCACCCGGGAATGGCGTTTGTCACCTGGGAATGGCACTTGTCATCTGGGAATAGCATTTGTGACCTGGGAATGGCGTTTGTCACCTGGGAATGGCGTTTGTCACTTAGGAATGGTGTTTGTTACTTAGGAATGGCGTTTGTCACCTGGGAATGGCGTTTGTCACCTGGGAATGGCACTTGTCATCTGGGAATAACATTTGTGACTTGGGAATGGCGTTTGTCACCTGGGAATGGTGATGGTCACCTGGGAATGGCAACTGTCACCTGGGAATGGCATTTGTCACCTGGGAATGGCATTTGTAACCTGGGAATGGCATTTGTCACCTGGGAATGGCGTTTGTCACTTAGGAATGGTGTTTGTTACCTGGGAATGGCGATTGTCACCTGGGAGTGGCATTTGTCACCTGAGAATGCTGTTTGTCACCTGGGAATGGCATTTGTAACCTGGGAATGGCATTTGTCACTTAGGAATTGCGTTTGTCACCTGGGAATGGTATTTGTCATCTGGGAATTCCATTTGTAACCCGGGAATGGCTTTTGTCACCTGGGAATGGTATTTGTCATCTGGGAATTCCATTTGTCACGGGGAATGGCTTTTGTCACCAGGCCCCACGGCAGCCAGTCAATAGGACAGGGGCACACCAGGGACCTGCTGCTGTCCCAGCTGTCAGTGACACTCGATTTGGGACAGAGCCCTCCTGAAACACCTCATGTCCAGCACTGAGCTGCTCCCCGGGTCCCTGGGCATCCTCCCAGCTTACCAACCCCTGGGCAGTGGAAAGCTCCCAGAGACTCCAGAGCAGCTTTGCTCCCTGGAAACCTCCCTGGGAACGCGGCTGGGGGTGGTGGGCAGGATGTCACCCACCCAGTGTGGGGTTTTCCCCTCCCTTCGCTAAACAATTTGCACAAACCCCATCCGATTCCCATTTTAATCGACTTTTCCAGTCCTTTTCTTCACATGGTTATGATGGATGCAGCTGACGAGTCAGCAGATGGTGCTGGGAAGTGACAAATTAGTTACCAAGAAAGGTCACTTTTCCAAAGCACTAAACTTCCCCGTGTCTTGTCCCACTGTCCCTCCAAGACGTGTCTGGCTGGCAGCTTTCCATCCATCTGGGATGGAGCCTTCTGCCTGGGGAAGGACAACCTTCCAAATCAAACAGAGGGATGAAAATTAATCATATCTGTATTAGCTGCATGCAGCTTGCCAGCTTCACCTCTTAATTATGCAAGAGTGCTCTGACAGGAAGGAATTGTGGAGCTGAAAATAAAGGATCTGAATCCAGCTCTGGAAGTGCCGGGGCAGGTGGGAGCAACAGGCATCTCCTAGTTCTGGCTTGGCTCAGTCCATAAATGCAGCTTTTGGCACATCCTGGCTGCAAAACAAGGATAAATGAAAATAAAATAAAAAAAATCCCAGCTGGAGGTCTCCCTGCCAGCTCTTTAATTCCAAAATTCCATCCTGCTGCATCCCTGGCACAGTTTGCACCCTGCAGTTCCCAAAACTCCCCTTTGGGCTGCGGTGCCAAGTGGCAGCAGAGGTTAGAGGCTCAACAGAAACATGATGTGCAGGATGGGTTTGAGTGCAGCTCTGCTCGTTCTGAAAGTTAAACGTTTGGCACAACTGGGAGTCGTTTTCCCAGGAAACTGGCAGTGGAGTGCAGCCCAGTGGGCCTGGCAGCAGTGCCAAGGAACAAGGGGCAGAACGAGCTGCCCGTGCCAGCAGCACACCCAGCCCCTTCTGGAAACCAGCTCTGAGGTGACCTGCACACCCCAAAACTGGGGAAATTCTGCCTGTTGCCTCAGTTTTCCATGAAAGAATAAAAGAGAGGGAAAATGATTTTCTGGACAGAGCTTGGGTGGATTTGGCTCCTCTACAAGTGCTGGAGGGGACAGGCACTGACCAAAACATCCTATCCCATAACAATCCTCTGTCACTGGATTTCACTCTGTCACTGAAAAAAACACCCAAACAGTTTCAAAAATCCCTTTTTCTAATAAAATAAATGTCTGGGCTTATAAAAACTTTCTCTACTCTCAAATAAGGAAAGAAATAAACAGGAGAAAAATGTTTCCTTGCCTTGTTTCTCTAATTTTTGGTCACTCCTTTGCCACCCTCTCCCCGATCTGGAAGGAGCGAAGAGAGAAAGGAGAGGAGGTGAGAAATCACGATGGGATGCAGCTCAGCTGTTCCCATTTCGGTTTTCAAATCCAAGCCACCCGGTTTTCACTTGAGGGATCAGGAATATTTTTAGGAATGGTACAAAATGCAGCCCCACACCCAGGGAAAGGATGTCCCATGGGGCTGAGTGGTGTCCCTGGGCACCCCACTGTCCTTTTGGGGTGCTGGGATGGGAAAAAAGGAGGGGGGAAAAAAGAGGAAGAAGAGCAGGGAAAACATTTGAGGGGAAAGAAAAGAAGGCGGGGGGAAAAGAGGGAAAGAAGAGCAGGGAAAACAAGCAGAAGGAAGAAGAGGAGGAAAAGAAAGAAAAAAGGAGGGAAAGATGGGCAGGAAAAACAATTGTGGGGAAAGAAGAGGGGAAAAAAAAGAAGAGAGGGAAAGAAGACCAGGGAAAATAATTGAGGGAGGAGAATAAAAGGAGATAAAGAAGTAAGAAGAGGGACAGAAGGGGTCCAGCATCGTTGTGCTCAGCAGTGCCAGCTGCCAGAAGATTTCCCAAGACTGGATGATGCCAGATTCCCAGGATTTATTGGTGCTCTCACTGGAGTCTCCCCGTTCATCCCAGCACCTCTCAGCAATCAGTGGCCATTTATCTGCCACAGAGGAGAAGGGTTGTGGCTCTCAAGGCACCAATTCATCCTGGGAGGAACAAGGAGACAGAGCTGGATGGCTTCAGGGTGAAAAAGAGACTCACGTG